GAGAATTCTCAAATGTGGTTTCTGTGCTGTATTGGTGCGACTTTTGAGAATTCTCAAATGTGGTTTCTGTGCTGTATTGGTGCGACTTTTGAGAATTCTCAAATGTGGTTTCTGTGCTGTATTGGTGCGACTTTTGAGAATTCTCAAATGTGGTTTCTGTGCTGTATTGGTGCGACTTTTGAGAATTCTCAAATGTGGTTTCTGTGCTGTATTGGTGCGACTTTTGAGAATTCTCAAATGTGGTTTCTGTGCTGTATTGGTGCGACTTTTGAGAATTCTCAAATGTGGTTTCTGTGCTGTATTGGTGCGACTTTTGAGAATTCTCAAATGTGGTTTCTGTGCTGTATTGGTGCGACTTTTGAGAATTCTCAAATGTGGTTTCTGTGCTGTATTGGTGCGACTTTTGAGAATTCTCAAATGTGGTTTCTGTGCTGTATTGGTGCGACTTTTGAGAATTCTCAAATGTGGTTTCTGTGCTGTATTGGTGCGACTTTTGAGAATTCTCAAATGTGGTTTCTGTGCTGTATTGGTGCGACTTTTGAGAATTCTCAAATGTGGTTTCTGTGCTGTATTGGTGCGACTTTTGAGAATTCTCAAATGTGGTTTCTGTGCTGTATTGGTGCGACTTTTGAGAATTCTCAAATGTGGTTTCTGTGCTGTATTGGTGCGACTTTTGAGAATTCTCAAATGTGGTTTCTGTGCTGTATTGGTGCGACTTTTGAGAATTCTCAAATGTGGTTTCTGTGCTGTATTGGTGCGACTTTTGAGAATTCTCAAATGTGGTTTCTGTGCTGTATTGGTGCGACTTTTGAGAATTCTCAAATGTGGTTTCTGTGCTGTATTGGTGCGACTTTTGAGAATTCTCAAATGTGGTTTCTGTGCTGTATTGGTGCGACTTTTGAGAATTCTCAAATGTGGTTTCTGTGCTGTATTGGTGCGACTTTTGAGAATTCTCAAATGTGGTTTCTGTGCTGTATTGGTGCGACTTTTGAGAATTCTCAAATGTGGTTTCTGTGCTGTATTGGTGCGACTTTTGAGAATTCTCAAATGTGGTTTCTGTGCTGTATTGGTGCGACTTTTGAGAATTCTCAAATGTGGTTTCTGTGCTGTATTGGTGCGACTTTTGAGAATTCTCAAATGTGGTTTCTGTGCTGTATTGGTGCGACTTTGAGAATTCTCAAATGTGGTTTCTGTGCTGTATTGGTGCGACTTTTGAGAATTCTCAAATGTGGTTTCTGTGCTGTATGGTTGCGACTTTTGAGAATTCTCAAATGTGGTTTCTGTGCTGTATTGGTGCGACTTTTGAGAATTCTCAAATGTGGTTTCTGTGCTGTATTGGTGCGACTTTTGAGAATTCTCAAATGTGGTTTCTGTGCTGTATTGGTGCGACTTTTGAGAATTCTCAAATGTGGTTTCTGTGCTGTATTGGTGCGACTTTTGAGAATTCTCAAATGTGGTTTCTGTGCTGTATTGGTGCGACTTTTGAGAATTCTCAAATGTGGTTTCTGTGCTGTATTGGTGCGACTTTTGAGAATTCTCAAATGTGGTGTCTGTGCTGTATTGGTGCGACTTTTGAGAATTCTCAAATGTGGTTTCTGTGCTGTATTGGTGCGACTTTTGAGAATTCTCAAATGTGGTTTCTGTGCTGTATTGGTGCGACTTTTGAGAATTCTCAAATGTGGTTTCTGTGCTGTATTGGTGCGACTTTTGAGAATTCTCAAATGTGGTTTCTGTGCTGTATTGGTGCGACTTTTGAGAATTCTCAAATGTGGTTTCTGTGCTGTATTGGTGCGACTTTTGAGAATTCTCAAATGTGGTTTCTGTGCTGTATTGGTGCGACTTTTGAGAATTCTCAAATGTGGTTTCTGTGCTGTATTGGTGCGACTTTTGAGAATTCTCAAATGTGGTTTCTGTGCTGTATTGGTGCGACTTTTGAGAATTCTCAAATGTGGTTTCTGTGCTGTATTGGTGCGACTTTTGAGAATTCTCAAATGTGGTTTCTGTGCTGTATTGGTGCGACTTTTGAGAATTCTCAAATGTGGTTTCTGTGCTGTATTGGTGCGACTTTTGAGAATTCTCAAATGTGGTTTCTGTGCTGTATTGGTGCGACTTTTGAGAATTCTCAAATGTGGTTTCTGTGCTGTATTGGTGCGACTTTTGAGAATTCTCAAATGTGGTTTCTGTGCTGTATTGGTGCGACTTTTGAGAATTCTCAAATGTGGTTTCTGTGCTGTATTGGTGCGACTTTTGAGAATTCTCAAATGTGGTTTCTGTGCTGTATTGGTGCGACTTTTGAGAATTCTCAAATGTGGTTTCTGTGCTGTATTGGTGCGACTTTTGAGAATTCTCAAATGTGGTTTCTGTGCTGTATTGGTGCGACTTTTGAGAATTCTCAAATGTGGTTTCTGTGCTGTATTGGTGCGACTTTTGAGAATTCTCAAATGTGGTTTCTGTGCTGTATTGGTGCGACTTTTGAGAATTCTCAAATGTGGTTTCTGTGCTGTATTGGTGCGACTTTTGAGAATTCTCAAATGTGGTTTCTGTGCTGTATTGGTGCGACTTTTGAGAATTCTCAAATGTGGTTTCTGTGCTGTATTGGTGCGACTTTTGAGAATTCTCAAATGTGGTTTCTGTGCTGTATTGGTGCGACTTTTGAGAATTCTCAAATGTGGTTTCTGTGCTGTATTGGTGCGACTTTTGAGAATTCTCAAATGTGGTGTCTGTGCTGTATTGGTGCGACTTTTGAGAATTCTCAAATGTGGTTTCTGTGCTGTATTGGTGCGACTTTTGAGAATTCTCAAATGTGGTTTCTGTGCTGTATTGGTGCGACTTTTGAGAATTCTCAAATGTGGTTTCTGTGCTGTATTGGTGCGACTTTTGAGAATTCTCAAATGTGGTTCTGTGCTGTATTGGTGCGACTTTTGAGAATTCTCAAATGTGGTGTCTGTGCTGTATTGGTGCGACTTTTGAGAATTCTCCAATGTGGTTTCTGTGCTGTATTGGTGCGACTTTTGAGAATTCTCAAATGTGGTTTCTGTGCTGTATTGGTGCGACTTTTGAGAATTCTCAAATGTGGTTTCTGTGCTGTATTGGTGCGACTTTTGAGAATTCTCAAATGTGGTGTCTGTGCTGTATTGGTGCGACTTTTGAGAATTCTCAAATGTGGTTTCTGTGCTGTATTGGTGCGACTTTTGAGAATTCTCAAATGTGGTGTCTGTGCTGTATTGGTGCGACTTTTGAGAATTCTCAATGTGGTGTTCTGTGCTGTATTGGTGCGACTTTTGAGAATTCTCAAATGTGGTTTCTGTGCTGTATTGGTGCGACTTTTGAGAATTCTCAAATGTGGTTTCTGTGCTGTATTGGTGCGACTTTTGAGAATTCTCAAATGTGGTTTCTGTGCTGTATTGGTGCGACTTTTGAGAATTCTCAAATGTGGTTTCTGTGCTGTATTGGTGCGACTTTTGAGAATTCTCAAATGTGGTTTCTGTGCTGTATTGGTGCGACTTTGAGAATTCTCAAATGTGGTTTCTGTGCTGTATTGGTGCGACTTTTGAGAATTCTCAAATGTGGTTTCTGTGCTGTATTGGTGCGACTTTTGAGAATTCTCAAATGTGGTTTCTGTGCTGTATTGGTGCGACTTTTGAGAATTCTCAAATGTGGTTTCTGTGCTGTATTGGTGCGACTTTTGAGAATTCTCAAATGTGGTTTCTGTGCTGTATTGGTGCGACTTTTGAGAATTCTCAAATGTGGTTTCTGTGCTGTATTGGTGCGACTTTTGAGAATTCTCAAATGTGGTTTCTGTGCTGTATTGGTGCGACTTTTGAGAATTCTCAAATGTGGTTTCTGTGCTGTATTGGTGCGACTTTTGAGAATTCTCAAATGTGGTTTCTGTGCTGTATTGGTGCGACTTTTGAGAATTCTCAAATGTGGTTTCTGTGCTGTATTGGTGCGACTTTTGAGAATTCTCAAATGTGGTTTCTGTGCTGTATTGGTGCGACTTTTGAGAATTCTCAAATGTGGTTTCTGTGCTGTATTGGTGCGACTTTTGAGAATTCTCAAATGTGGTTTCTGTGCTGTATTGGTGCGACTTTTGAGAATTCTCAAATGTGGTTTCTGTGCTGTATTGGTGCGACTTTTGAGAATTCTCAAATGTGGTTTCTGTGCTGTATTGGTGCGACTTTTGAGAATTCTCAAATGTGGTTTCTGTGCTGTATTGGTGCGACTTTTGAGAATTCTCAAATGTGGTTTCTGTGCTGTATTGGTGCGACTTTTGAGAATTCTCAAATGTGGTTTCTGTGCTGTATGGTGCGACTTTTGAGAATTCTCAAATGTGGTTTCTGTGCTGTATTGGTGCGACTTTTGAGAATTCTCAAATGTGGTTTCTGTGCTGTATTGGTGCGACTTTTGAGAATTCTCAAATGTGGTGTCTGTGCTGTATTGGTGCGACTTTTGAGAATTCTCAAATGTGGTTTCTGTGCTGTATTGGTGCGACTTTTGAGAATTCTCAAATGTGGTTTCTGTGCTGTATTGGTGCGACTTTTGAGAATTCTCAAATGTGGTTTCTGTGCTGTATTGGTGCGACTTTTGAGAATTCTCAAATGTGGTTTCTGTGCTGTATTGGTGCGACTTTTGAGAATTCTCAAATGTGGTTTCTGTGCTGTATTGGTGCGACTTTTGAGAATTCTCAAATGTGGTTTCTGTGCTGTATTGGTGCGACTTTTGAGAATTCTCAAATGTGGTTTCTGTGCTGTGTTGGTGCGACTTTTGAGAATTCTCAAATGTGGTTTCTGTGCTGTATTGGTGCGACTTTTGAGAATTCTCAAATGTGGTTTCCATGCTGATTGGGAACCATTTGTATCTGTGCAAATCTCAGTGTCAGATACATGGTATAATCTGCTGTCGTTTGCATCCGTGAGATTCTCAATGTGTCATATTGATGTAATTTACAACCGTTCGCATTCGTGCGAAACCACCTGGACTTGGTCTCATCGTTCAACACCATGTGCAGGGCGGGCTCGACCGCAAGCGGAGGCGCAAGGACGAGGCAGCACTGGGTCCTGCCCAGTCAGCAGCAGAAGCTGCCAAGAGGGTTCTCGACAAGAAGGTGGGGCTTTCTTTTGCTGCCACACTGTGTCCTCTAGCGCTCGCTCCTCCTCCTCCTCCTCCTCCTCCTCCTCCTCCTCCTCCTCCTCCTCCTCCTCCTCCTACTCCTCCTCCTCCTCCTCCTCCTCCTCCTCCTCCTCTCCTCCTCCTCCTCCTCTCCTCCTCCTCCTCTCCGATAGTGCTGCTGCTGCTTCGATCTCCCCATCTCACCCATTAATCCCTTGGTCCGTCCACTCCCTTCCACTCGCCTCCACTCTATCTTTCTTCATTCCCACTCCTTTCCACCGTGCAGAGCTCAGCGCACGTCAACATGGAGGCTCTCGGACAGCTATTCTCAGATGGTGGCGGCGCCGCTGCAACTGCTACTGCTGCTGTTGCTGCTGCTGGGGCTGGAGCTGGGGCTGATGCTGCAGCTGGGCAGGGCCGGCCAAAGAAACAGCAGCACGTGCGGTGGGCTGATCAGGCTGCTGCCGCTGCTGCTGATGGTGCTACTAGTGGTGTTGGTGTTGGTAGTGCTGCTGCTGATGAAGCAGTGACAGCAGGGGCAGAGGAAGGGCCGCTCGCAGGGGGGTATGGTGGAGCAGAAGCAGGCTTGGGTGGGGACGAGGCGTGGGGAGGAGATGGCGCGCTGGGTGGGTATGGTGATGAGTCAACTACGTACGATGCTGAGTCAGCAGGGCATGGGGAAGGAGACATGGGAGTGGGCCATGATGAGGATTTGGAGCATAGGGGAGTGGATGGGGAGGAGGGTGATATGGATGGTGCTGCTGGGTTGCATAATGGGGAAGGTGCAGGTGATGGTCGTGGTGGTGAGGATGGTGAGGAGGAGGAGGAGGAGGCAGCAGAGGCACATGCAGCTGATGGGGAAGAAACGGAATACCATGATGTGAATGGGGTGCAGTACCATGTGGAAACGGGTGAGGAGCACTATAACGAGGATGGGGCAGGAGAGGCGGTATGGGGAGGTGGGGGAGCGGATCAGCTGTACGGTGCAGATGGCATTGACCCCGATGACCAATACATGTTTTACTGAACATGACCTGTTTTTTTTAGAAAGCTCACATACCGTATTCTCCCGGACATAACACCCGGGGGTATTATGATAACCACAGGGAAAAAAGGGGGGGGGGGGGGGTCCTCTCAACGGAAAATCCTATATAATACTCGGGTGGTTACATATGGTATATTTTAATGTAAGAACATTTTTTAATTAGACAATTTGGGTGTTTCAATGGTCGTTTAACATCACAGTTTGAGGCGAGAATGTGAGTTTCACCTTTCGGGCCATTTGCAGCAAAAGATTCGCCAGCGTGGACAGCGAGATTGTGGGAGGGGGGAAATTTCAGCAGATTCTAAGTGAAAGTGTTGGGCTGAAAAACCCTTAGGATCTTTGCAGGGGTGAACTCTGGGTAGAGTTGGTGTAGTAGCGGAAGCGTTAATTAAAGAGTTGTGAACCACCTTGCACTAGTATGTGAGGGCAAAGTAAGTTAATTAAAACAAAGAGATACAAGGTTTTATAAGAGTACAAGGAATACGAAGAGATACAGTTAATAACCGTTTTACTATTGCTGTTGCGGTTCGATACAGTGACGACTCGGGCAACTGCTCAATACCGAGTCAGTTGTTTGTCCTTGCTGTCGCGCTGTACTTTGTCAGGTCAAAGGTCGCTGACCTTTGACTTTCGCGTAACCTCCAACAGTTACTTTCAACCTCCGAGGGTTGACTCGCCGGTGATTCGTTATACTTCGTTTCTTTTGTGTCTTAGTGTTTCGACACGACAGAGGCGCTTAGGACCGATTGTTTCCAACACTCCCCTTCGCTTCTGGAGTGTCGCTGACGTGGCTCTGTCCAGTCAGCAGCATGCAGTATTCGAACTTCTGCTTTCCGAGCTTCTTGGTCAGGTAGTCAGCTGCCATCTCGGACGTGGGACAGTATGACAGCTCGAGCCTTCCCTTCTCGATCTCGTCCTTCACGAAGAAATATCGCAGGGCGATGTGTTTCGTCCTGTTCGAGAAGCCGTTCTTGTTGGCGATGCGAATTGCCGACTGGTTGTCGCAGAACAGGGTAAAGTTGGGTAACTCGGCTAACTTCGCTTCTTCCAGCAGCTCGCGAAGATAGAGTCCTTCCTTGGTGGCTGAGCAGAGTGCAATATATTCTGCTTCAGCTGACGAGAGAGCAATTAATTCCTGCTTGCTCGACTGCCAAGAGATAGGTCCGATAGGTTCGAGGCGGTAGATGTAGCCGGTGCGGGAGCGCCTATTGTCGGAGTCGCCAGCGTGATCAGCGTCGACGTAGCCGATTAACTTAGTCGGTGTGGTTGCGTTCTTGTAGTAAGTTAGGCCGATCGTTGGGGTGCTGACGAAGTAGTGAAGAGCGCGGTCGAGCTCCGCCAGATGTTCTGCTTCAGGCTTCTTGAGGTAGGTGGTGAGCTGGCTTGCGGAGTATGAGAGGTCGGGGCGACAGGTGACGGCTGCGAAGAGAAGACATCCCAGCTTCTTCTGGTAGTCTCGTATGCCGGCGGGCTTGAGTAGAGCGGAGCTTCCTTTGTCGTTCCCTGCCGTGTAGCGGTATGGCGTGGAGATGGCTGTCGGTGTGAGTGTAAAGCGTTTGGCGATGGTGTCGGCATATTTCTCGGCGCTGAGGTAGATCGCGTCCTCCTCTTCCCGGATGTTGAGGCCGAGGTACTGAGTGACGGTAGATGAAACAGTGAGCGTGAGAGCCAGGTAGTGATGCCGTCATTTGAGCCGATGTAAAGGAGATCGTCCACGTAGACGATTAGTAGGATGTAGTCGTCGTTTTTTGTGAGCCGGTACATGCCTTGATCGTGCGGTAGTTGCTTGAAGCCGATGCGGATGAGGCGAGCGTGCAGGTACTGTTGCCACAGTCGCGGAGCCTGCTTGATGCCGTAGAGTGACTTGAGTAGCTGGCAGACTTGGTTGGGTTCTCTGTGGGAGCCGTGCGGTAGCTCGACGAAAATTTCTGCATCAACAGGTGCGTAGAGAAACGCGTTCGCGACGTCAATTTGTCGCAGCTTCTTCTTCTTCATGGCGGCGATTGCGAGGAGAATGCGTAGTGAGGTGTGGCGGCTAACCGGAGCGAAAGTTTCGGTGAAGTCGCGTCCGTGTTCTTGGTCGAAGCCGCGTACAACCCAGCGAGCTTTAAATTTGTCAATGGTGACGTCAGCCTTTGTCTTCACACGGAAGACCCACTTCCCGGTGAGCACTGTCTTGTTCCGTGCCACGCCGATAGGAACCACTTTCCACGTGTTGCGTTCCTCCAGTGCCTTCAGCTCCTTGTCCATGGCTTCGCGCCATTTTTCCTTATGCTCCCCCCCCAGAGCCTGTTGAACCGTCGCAGGCTCTTTAGGAATGGCGGTGCCGTGGACTGCGGTGACGAGTCCGAGAATTTGCAGTCCACTCTGTGAGTAGCGGGGAAGATTTGCGTCCTCGGGATAAGCTGCTTCATCTCCCGCTTCTGGATCAGGTATGAAGTTGGGTCCTACTCGTTCTGCTTCGTTGGTGTTGACTGTCGCAGGTGTTACGTAACCGTTGTCGGCGAAATAGTAGAAGGTTTCGGCGTTGACACTTTCGCGAGGGTTATCTTCGTCCATGGGAACGTCGACGGAGCAGAACGGAAGAGGTCCGGCTTCTTCTGATGCGTTGTCCACATTCTGCTCGTCCCAGTCAGCTTCGTCCGTTGCTGAGGCGAAGGCTCGGTCACCGCGAAAACCACCTGTGGGATCCTGGTCTTCTTGCAGGTTGGCAAGGCATGTCTGGAGCGTGAGTCGTTCGTAGAAAATTACATCACGTGCTGCTACTGTTTCCTTGGAATGGACGTCGAAGATTTTCCACGCGTTGTAGTTCTTTTCGATTCCCAGGTGTAGTCCCCACTGTGCTCGTTGAGAAAATCGGCCCGCTCGTGCTGCTGGGGGTTGGTACTGTACCATGCATCCGAATACTCGTAACATTTTTGTGCTGCCCTGTTTCCCTGTCCATAGCAGATGCGGTGATGCGTTGTTTGGAAGCGATGATGACGAGAGCAAGTTGTGCAGCATGACGGCGTGGTCCATTGCCGCAGGCCACTGGTGGTTGGGTAGCCGCATGCCACGTAACAGTTTGCGCATGCTGTTCTGCAAGGTCCTGTTTGCCGCTTGATTCCCCTTTCCGCCAGGTACTGCTTGAATCGCTGAGAGGTGTATTCTCCTCCTCCGTCTGACTGGAAGCTTTTCAGTTTCACGCCCGATTCTCTCTCTGCTACTGGTAGCCAGGCAACGAAGGCTGCGAATGCCATGTCGCGGCTAGGGAGGTTTAGGTGCCAGACGTAACGGGTGGCGGCGTCGATGAAGGTGATTGTATAGTTGTATATTACTTGTCCTGGTTCTCGATTGTACAGGATGTCTACGTTCTCCATTCTAAAGGATCATTCAGCAAAGTTGTCGCCGTTGAACTTGTCAAGCCCAAACACCCTAGGCTCATCCCTAGGTGGGCCAAGACTTGGTTGCATGGGAGACATGGCGGGATCACGGGGTTGGCCTTGAGCTTGGGCTTCTCCACTGCCATTAGAACCTCAGCCACCCCTTACCTTAGGTCCAACCATTGTACCTCCAAGGGGCTCTGATACCACTTGTTATAGTCACAATAGGCTTGAATATGCCTAAAATTAAAGATAGAGTGCAAAGTCAGATTTCTGCACAGCGGCTTTAAACGTTCATTGCGTTCTGGTCACAGCTCCAAATGACCTGCTTCAAATTGGATCTGGAGCGTCTTAACGACGCTTACAGTAGGCGAAGGATGGGGAGAGAGGCAGAGGTGGGCATACGGAGGGACTACAAGAAAGTGATGGCAAGGGAGGGCAGAGAAGAATGGATGCGAGGGAACGCATGGAAATCGACGCGTCTTCATTAGTGGATACAGAAGCAGGGATGAGTGGAAAGACGAAGGCACACACAGTCGCACAAGGAGGGGAGGAGCGACCCACCCGACACATCGGAGCACAAGGAGGAGAGGAGCGACAGAGAAGCAACCACCTCCACCGTGTTCCTTCGGCCCTGCCCCGCCTCCTCCTCTACGCCACCCGCCGCCTCCTCCTCCGCTCCATGGCGCCGGTGAGGGCGGCGGTGAGAACAGCGGTGAGAGCGGCGGTGTGAGCGCTGGTGAGAGCGGCGGTGCGAGAAATAGGGGTCGGCAAAGAGGGGTGCTCCTTGAGTCGACTCAAAAGTCACCAGTGCGAGAACTAGGGGTCGGCAAAGAGGGGTTGAGGAGGACTGCTTCGTACTTCTAACAAGCGCTGGCCTCGGTCTTTGGGACAGTGACCAACAATGCCGCCTAATCGCTGGCTTTCGCTGTTTGTGCCGTGCAAGTTGAGAACTCTTGCCTTCCAACGATTTTGAATGTCGTGTGCGCGACAGAAACAGACGAGGCTCTTCGCGACGAAAGGCGAGCAGCAGTCCGCCAAGAGGGAGGAGAAGAAGGCGCATGGCAGGAGGACAATCTGTGCAAGAAGGCTGGTTAGAATCAGCTGTGCACGCCGGCGCCAGCTCTCCCGCGGGTGCGCCGCGTGCATTCCAGCATGCGACGAGGGCAAGCCTTGTCGGAGAATCGAGTTTCTGCCGCCCCAGCCCTTTGCACACAAGCAGCAGCAAGGGGGAATGTCGGCGATGAATCAGAGCTTCGGGAAGTACTTCGAAAGTTCCACCACCAATCAGATTTCAGCCGAAGACTCGATATAGTTCAAAGCTGCCTTCAAACCGAAGTGTTGGCAGTTTCTACAGGTTTCTACACATCAGAATCAGCTATAACAGAAATATCCAGAGTTTTCTTATTCATGCACCTCATGTGGCACTCAAAGTCACTCAAGGTCCATCCAATCTAGATTGTGCCCAAGTTACCAGGGAAGTTACATTGTCTATCAGCCTAGTTTGAGCTTTCAATCTGTCTTGTTTGTGATGCCTATAGAGTTGTGCTTTAGTGGGCTTGTTAATCTTGAACATAGTGAAGTTTTACCTCATCCAGTCAATTCCAGCAGCCCTGCTAAGACTTTCCAGCCAAGTTTCCAGCCCTCCAGTAGTCACAGCTACTCTGTTTTACAAGTAGCCTCGCCCAAGTTGCTCCTGTCACAGCACGGTGCTGCCCCCAAGCCTCGACAGTGACGTGGGTTCGGGTAAGACCAGCACAGCGTGTTTTGATTTCGATGTTTGAACGGAACAATTGCAAAACCTGTAGCCAAAATTGCGCATCGCGCCGATCTCAATCCTACTTGAACGTGCTTGCCGTTGCAATTTTAGCTCGAGTCACCCTGCACGGGGTGGTTGCGGAGGTAACTGAGTAGTTCGCGAAACTTTTAAAGTGTTACAAGCGGTTGGGCAAACCAAAAATCTGTGTATCTCCCAGGACCCCGCTCAACTTGTTGCCAAGGTCGTGGTATGCTTTGCCGATCAAAATTGGACGAACGGACACGTGTTCATTCGGGCCTGATAGTCTGGCAAAGGGTTCATTTTCGGTTCAACAAGCTGGTTCTGTTGGCATTTAGGGCGTGTAAAGTCGCGCACCATTTGAGAAATTTGCAAATGGCTGGAAATCCGACGACTTTTTGGTCGTTATTTCTTTCGCGAACAACGACAACTTGGTCGACCTTTGGTCGCCCACCAAAACGGCCTGTACTTGCCATTTTGCAGACTTGACAAGTTTGCAGGCCGATTTGAGGGCCGCATGAACAAACATGTCAAATTTGCACCCTCGCACAAACCAGCCACTTTGCGACCCAGTCGTACATGGACTCCAGTAGTGGCACAACCACTCGTTCTATCGCAGGGCGCTTTGTGCGACGATGGGCACATCTGTCGCACTGACTAGTCGGCTTCGTGGCCGTTTGCGAGTCGACTCGGCGTCGTTGTTGTGTCGGTTCGCTGAAACGGCCATCAAATATTTCGCGATTTCGAGAAACAAACGAGCTTCGCACAAGACACGGCGAGTGTCGTAAAAGGGTTACTTTCGCCAACAACGGTCAAAAGGATTTTCCCAAAATTTGTTGTGGCACGACTTTACACGCCCTTAGGCCCCTAGGAACGCACGGGCGTGCTGACTTTCCGTGAGGGGTGCACTGCTACGCATGCACCATAACTGACAACTGACACGTGTCCGATGCTACTCGAAGCGTGCTCTGTCTTCAGGCTTTTTGATAGGATTCGATGAAATCCGTTCAAAACGCTCTCAAAGCGATCGCGATGTCAGTTCTGGCGCGCGCATCCCGCAATTCCGCGGTGTTGCGCACTGCATGCTTCCGCCTTGCCGCGCCGGCGATCGCATGGGGTGGATTCTCGACGGCCACTGCTGGCGCATCCCCTGCCTCCGCTTCCGCCTCTCCCGCCGATGCTTCCCCCGCTGTTGCGGGTAATTCAACCGCAGGACGCGCGTTTGAGGCGTCAGGTGGGAGAGTGACGTCCGCAAGCGTTGATGGCGAAGAGGTGGCTAAGTTCGAAGCTCTCGCCAGCCAATGGTGAGCTCTGGCGAAAAGAAGTTTCGAAATTGGTCCACATGGCCTAAAAAGCTGCTAAATTCTCGCAACTCCACTTTCTTTCATGAGGGAACCACACAGCTTTCACAATGGCTTGCCGCTCTCCCCATCCCCCCCAATCCTTCCCCAACCTTCCCCATCCCTCCCCATCCCTTCCCATCCATCACCATCCCTCCCCATCCAGGTGGGACCGCAGGGGCCCACATGCGCCACTGCATGCCATGTCAGCTGCCCGCGTGGCGTTCGTGCGTGATGCCATGTGTCGGCACTTTGGGTGAGCGAAAGAGGGGGTAAGGCGAGAGGCAGGGAGAGAGAGAGAGAGAGAGAGAGAGAGAGAGAGAGAGAGAGAGAGAGAGAGAGAGAGAGAGAGAGAGAGCTTATGAGTGAGAGGAGTTTGTGGGGGAGGGCTTATGAGTGGAAGGAGTCAATGAGAGAGAGTGGAGATTCACGAGTGTGACCATGCTTTCATGTCCGAAGACCTGGCTTCAGCCACTTGCATTGCAGCATCTAGTCCATTGCCTTTTTCTCGGCTCCCCTTTCCCACCATGCCATGCCATGCCATCCCATGCCGTGCCATGCCGTGCCATGCCATGCCATGCCGTGCCATGCCGTGCCGTGCCGTGCCATGCCATTCCATATGATCCCATACGATGACATGCCTCCAATAGCCATTTGAGTGCGTTTCATCCCAATCCTGACCTCAATCATTCCCGCCTTCCCTCTCCATCTGTCCATCAGTCTGAATGCAGACTCTGCCAGGCCACTGGAAGGGCTGAGAGTTCTTGACGTGGGGTGTGGGGGGGGGCTTCTGTGTGAGGTGAGTACGATTGGTGTGCTACCAGGCAAGCGTCTCAGTGAACGTTGTTCATTGTCCTTACTCTTCATTTCGTTTCTTTTGTTTCTGGTGCTTTCTACTTAGCTGTAGTTGCTTATGTCACCTCTGTTCTTTCGTTCGTATTCTTCTCCCTTTGTTTTCACTTTCACCATTCTGCTCACCTTCCAAACCACATCCCAACCAACTCCCTCCGGTCCGGGGTCTTCCCCCCTTGTGTCGTATTCTGCAGCCGCTGGCTCGCTTGGGAGCTACAGTGACAGGTGTTGATGTGACACGTGTCAACACACGAGTGGCTGCTGCTCACGCTGTACGTCTCTTTTGATGCATGTCCCTAGTGCCGCAGAGCAAGCCTCTGAAAGGAGGTGTTTTGTCTTAGACTCTCTTGATCCACCGTTTGATGCTCTTTATCAGCAGCGTCACTTTCCGTAAGGCGTTCTTCTGCTGTGTTTGTTTTCGTCCAGGTGTTTTTCCAGAATTTGTAGAACCACCCAGCCGCCACGTACGTCTGCGATCGTGACTATACAATAGCATGTCACTGGGTTTGGAGTGTCTTTCAATGCATGCTTCGCCCGTGTGTACGTACGTGTGTGCAGGCAAGGGATCCTATCACCCGATCCATATCTTACAAGTGCATCTCTGCAGGTATCCACTTTCATTCGAATGACCGCCAATTCTCCCCTTGCTTGGGATCTGCTCACAATTTGGCCCCTCTCCTCTTCTGAACACTCTCCATTTCCACTCTCTTCTATCTTCTCCCTGCCCTCTCCCCGCTTCTCTCTTCTCCCTCCGCGTCTCTCTATCAAGTGCAGAAGAACTTGCTGCACAGGGGACTATGTTTGATGCCGTGCTCTCGTTGGAGGTGAGGTGAGGTGCGGTACGGTCAGGTGAGGTGAGGCGAGGTGAGGCGGGGTGGGGTGACGTGAGGTGGGGTGACGTGAGGTGAGGTGAGGTGAGATGAGCTGAAGTAAGGCGAAGATTAACTTCTTGATCTTGCAGCTGGTTACTCCTTGCTCGCCTTTCCCTCATTCCTGCTGCTTTCTGCTGTTCGCTGCTCTCTGCTCTCCCTGCTTTCTGCTCTCAGCTTCTGTGCAGGAAATGTTCACCGTCATGTCGCCTCTTTTGTGCTTGCCGCGCTCCTCTCTGCCCACGTGATGGAGCATGTGGCGGATCCTTGCCTCTTGCGACGGCCCCTCATACTCCACGTGATGGAGCATGTGGCGGATCCTTGCCTCTTGCGACGGCCCCTCATACTCCACGTGATGGAGCATGTGGCGGATCCTTGCCTCTTGCGACGGCCCCTCATACTCCACGTGATGGAGCATGTGGCGGATCCTTGCCTCTTGCGACGGCCCCTCATACTCCACGTGATGGAGCATGTGGCGGATCCTTGCCTCTTGCGACGGCCCCTCATACTCCACGTGATGGAGCATGTGGCGGATCCTTGCCTCTTGCGACGGCCCCTCATACTCCACGTGATGGAGCATGTGGCGGATCCTTGCCTCTTGCGACGGCCCCTCATACTCCACGTGATGGAGCATGTGGCGGATCCTTGCCTCTTGCGACGGCCCCTCATACTCCACGTGATGGAGCATGTGGCGGATCCTTGCCTCTTGCGACGGCCCCTCATACTCCACGTGATGGAGCATGTGGCGGATCCTGCTGCTTTCGTCCGCACCCTCGCCTCTCTCTGCCGACCCACTCCACCCTCCGCTCCTTCCTCCCCCCTCACCCCATCTTATGCATCTCCTTCCCAAACTTCCACAGCACAAACGGCCCCATCCCCATCCATGCCCATGCCGCCATCCACATCCTCTCCACCCACATCAACACCTCCACCTGCACCAACATCCCCACCTTCAACTCCCAACCCTGGAGGCGTGCTCTTCCTCTCCACCATCAATCGCACCGCTCGCTCCTTTGCTCTCGCCATCGCAGCTGCCGAGTACATCCTCTCTATAGTATGTACATTTTCTTTCGTGTACGTACATTATTTTACTATAGTTTGTTCCTTTTTTGTGTGTATAGATTCTTTCTTGCTCTATGTAAACTCTCTCTACTGCATGCCTCTCTTTTCCTCGTCCAATAGAGTGTGCCTCTGTACTAGCGTCCTTGCCTAACAATTGGACTGACTTCGTCGCATCATCAAGCTTCTATTTTTCATTGTTGTTGTCGTCGTCGTCATCGTTATTTTTCTTGGTTTTTTTTTTTTTTTTTTTGGCATGAATTTGTTGCATGGCCACCTGTTTTGCCCGTTTGGCAAAACTTGGAGCTGCCTAGTACTTGCCAAGAGATTTTTGAGGCACCTCAAAAGAGCTTGGGAGACGACTAAGGCTTCACAAAGTATCACCCTGATTGCAATCACCCTCGCTTGTGGCAGGTACCCCGGGGGACTCATGATTGGAACAAGTTCATCACCCCTTTGGAGCTTGCCCTCATGCTGCGACGAACCAACTTCCAGGTGAGCTGCAACTACTTTAAGGAGTGCATGTGGGAGTAGTTAATTCTCATCATGTTCATTTCATAGTTCAAGGCTTAGCAGTGACAATCACCCCGTTGGAGCTCACCCTTATGCTGTTACGAGCCAACTTCCAGGTGAGATGCATCTGCTTCTAAAGGGGTGCAGCCATGACGCCAAATGGCGATTGCAAAGCAAAGCCCAGGATCAGCGTACCTTTCCCGTGCATGTAACCATGTCTAACGCTGTTGCTGTGGCGAGCCAGGTTTGGGGAGGACCCTGTTTACTCTATCTCCACTCCAAACAGCCCATCCCTTCCTGCAGAGTGTTTTGGGAACTCTTAAAAATTGCAGGGTGTTTGCAGTGCTACCTCTGTCCTGCCATCTGAGTCGACTTAGAAGCTCTGACTTAATCCTGCGTGGGTGTTCCCTTCTCCCCTCCCCTGCCTTGCTCTCCCGACCCGCCAGCTGGCGGAGACACGTGGCATGGTGTACGACCCAATCAGCAACAGGTGGAATCTCTCAAGAGATGACATGGCAGTGAATTACATTGCCATGGCCACTCGTGTGGAGTAGAGAGTATTGTGGCTGTGGGTTGGGTGGGGCATGTCACACGCACGCATGGGTCGCTTCTACACCAGTAGGTGGCTTGGTAGTGAAATCACATTGGCATGGCCACTCGTATGTGGAGTGGAGTTGAACTATGGCCTGTAAGGTGTGCTTCAGTCATGGGTTTGTAAATTAGTTGCTGTTCACGTGGACGTGCACTGAATCATGTTCCCATGGCCACTCTTGTTGGCCGGCCATGCTGGTTGATACTGCTGCTGACGTTCTCATGTTGAGGTACACCGGTAGTTACAATTCTAAACCTCGCCAAGGCAGTGTGCAAGTGCGCAACATGAACAGAGACCGGGAGCGCGGGAGGAGGGACCCTGTCGAGAAGTGGTGGAGGGAGGGTTGGTGGTTACAGGATGCGCACAACCTCACGCATACCCATCGATAGGGAACTAGAAAAACAGCCCAGCCAGGTCAGCGTCTTGCCAAGCCAGCTCAAAGGATTTGTTGCAACTCGGCGTCTTGCCGAGCCAGCTCCAGAAGCATAGGATCGTCAAAGAACTTGTTGATGCTCACATCCTCGCTCATGCCCTGAAACAACAGACATAAAGAAGCAACCAGTAAACAGGTAACCAGAAAAGGATTTAGAACACGATGGCCGGATTGGCGGGGTCGCTGTGCACCAAGAGCCCCTTCGGCCAACAGTCATGCCCTTGTCCAGTAGTTGATTTCTAACACAGACCTCTCATACACACCTCTTGTACCAACTTCCCTCACTCTCTCCTCACCTTTCTCCGCCTCGTTTTGACCATGAACTCTCTCTCAAGGTGCTGAGCAGGAGCCGGCTCTAGCGGGTGCAGCACCACATTCTTGTCGAGAGGGTCCCCCGGCATCACAGCTCAGTGGTCAAACACTGACACACAGAAGGCCTGCCCACAGATTCTCACCCCTCAACCCCTTCCCACACCTCTCCTCTCACCTTTCTCCGCCTCGTTTTGACCATGAACTCTCTCGCAAGGTGCTGGGCAGGGGCGGGTTCTAGCGGGTGCAGCACGACGCTCTTGTCGAGAGGGTCTCCCGGCACCACGGCCCAATGGTCGAAGACAGACACACAGAAGGCCTGCCCCTGTGTGTGATAGCGTAGGTCTGTCTCAAAGCCAAAGGACTCGATGACTGGCAGGATGGCCTGGGGGGGGGAGGGAATCGCCAGGAGCAGCGAGGGAGGAAAGGTGGAGACTGACGAGTGAATGGTACAAGGAAACGTGGAATTACAAATTCCTGTTTGTTCCGAGCTGACAATGCAAAACGGGGAATAGAGGAACTGTTTATTCAACCAGGACAGCAGCGAGTGCAGCACCTTGACAATGTAGGCGGGAGTGACAGCCTTGGCAGCATCGCCTGTCATGTGGCCTCGACGCCACAAACACCAAGGGA